GCCTGGGCCGGGGGCAGGGGAGGGTTAAAACGATGCCCCGTCAGAGACCTTCGCCTCGCTGTGCCCACTCGTCCCGGCCCCCGTTTGACCTGTAGACAACAACTGTGGCGGGGGGGAGGAGTGATAGGGGGCGGGGAACGAATCGGCTTAATGTGAGCAATTATCCTAATGACGCCCCTTGCGGCGCCCTCTCGTCCTCCCTCGGCCCGAGGGGGGCACCCTCCTTCCCGGGCTACCCTGGCTGCCAGCCACGCTGCTCGTGGGCTTTCACCGTCCCTCCCACGTGGGCCCGGAGCCTCTTCCCCCTCAACCTCACAGCTGGGGGAGAAACTGAGGCTCAGAGAGGGCTCCTGCCCGTGGCCGAGGGTCCCTACCCGTCCTCTCGCAAATCCGCCCAACCAGGGTGGGGTGTACCCCGCTTCACCTAGGAGTCGCCGACAGGAAGGAGGGAGGGGACCCTGAAGTGCCTCTGCTGTGCCCTTTGGCTGCCGGAATCCTCTGCCCAGGGACCCCTGGCCGGACCTTCCCTTTTAACCCCGAAGAGTCCGGAAGCTTCCCCACCCTCCCCCCCGGGGATTCACTCCCTCTGTTTCCCTCTGCCTAATTATGCTGTGGGTGGGGCTGGCACCCAACCTGGGTCCCAGATTCCTGCTTGGGGAGGAGCCCTGGGATGCAGGCTTCTCCCAGTGCCCGTAACACCCTTTTTGGCGCCGGATTCCACGGGGATTCCCCAGGTCCCTTTTCCAAGACTGCCCAGGTGGTGGGAGAGGGTTTCGTGACCCCAGGGAGCCCAGGAGTGGGCGGGATGATAAACGATTGTGATCGTGATTGAGAGGGAGGAAATAAATGGGAAGTTGTAAACCGCGAGTGAGTGACCAACCAAGTGAGAAAGGCCAGAATGCGGAAGAGAGAGGAGGAGGAGGCAGAGAGATAAAGTGGATTGAGTAGGAGAGACTGAGACTGACTCGGAAAGAAAGACTGTGATAAACCAAAGCCAAAAGAGCCAGAGAGAGATGCCAAGGCTAGGACACAGAAACAGGAAGAAGGAAACAGAGCCAGTGAGGGAGATGATGACCAGGAGGCCGGGGGGAGGGGGGGGGCGGCACACAACGACGTCTTGTGTTTGGAGCCCACACCCCTGGACGTAGCAGTGGACGACTTCATGTGTGTCCCAGAGAGAGTGACAAACCCTTCTGTGTTGGAGAGCTGTGACCGTCTCACACTCTTCCTGCCATCTATGTGTGTCCCAGAGAGAGTGACAAACCCTTCTGTGTTGGAGGGCTGTGACCGTCTCACACTCTTCCTGCCATCTATGTGTCCCCAGGTGACACACAGGTCCATGAATCACAAATCGAGGCTGCAAGGGGCATCGACGTCACCTCGGCAAACATCTTCATTTCAGGTGAGGAACCAGAGGCTCAGAGAGGGCAGTGACTCAGAGGTCACACAGCAAGTCCACCTGACAGCCAGTAGGCCCTTGTTCTAGCTCTGGACTCTTACTCCTCACCTCCCCTGCAAGGGGAGCAGATTGTCAGAAAGGACCCTGGGCTCTGGATTATTTGCGGAGCATCTTCAGAGATTGTCTAGTTCGCTGCTGTCCTGACATTCTGCAATGGCAGAAATGTTCTATATGGACAAACAGCAGCCACCAGCCACCTGTGGCTACCAAGTGTTTGAAATGTTGAAAGTGAGGCGTTGCATTTCTGATTTTACGTAATTTTAGTTTAGATAGCCACAGGTGACTGGTGGCACTATTTTAGCCAGCGTAAGTCTCCATTAACTAATTACCTATTATTGGAAAAACAAAAACAATGACAGCTCCATTGTATTCGTCTTAGTATGCATGCATAATTTTACAGATAAGGAAACTAACTGAGCCTTTGTCAAGGCAGTATCACTTGTTAGAGACCAACTTGCTTAAAATCTTTGTTCTTCTACTGGCAGGCTGTGTGACTGTGAGCAAGTGGCTCTGTTTCTCTGTGCCTCAGTTTCCTCATCTATAAAATGGGTATAATAGCCAGGCGTGGTGGCTCATGTTTATAATCCCAGCACTTTGGGAGGCGGAGGCGAGAGGACCAGGGGTTTGAGACTAGCTTGGGCAACTTGGCAAGACCCTGTCTCTACAATAAATAATTTTTTATTGTTGGGGTCTCACTCTAGGCTGGAGTGCAGTGGCACACTCACAGCTAACCCAGCGTCAACCTGCTGAGCTGTGGAGATCCTTCCACCTCAGCCTTCCCAGTAGCCAGAACTACAGGCGCGCACTACCATGCCCGGTTAATTTTTTATTTATTGTAGAGACAAGGTCTCACCAAGTTGCCTGAGCTGGTCTCAAACACGCAGGTTCAGGCAATCCATCCACCTCAGCCTCCCAAAGTGCTGGGATTACAGGCTGAGCCACCGAGCCCGGCCACAAATAAATTTTTTAAAATGAGTATAATAATAGTACCGACCTGATAGGGTTGTGTGAGGATTGAGTGAGTTGATGCATTTCAAAGCCCTTGAGCCAGGGTCTGGCATACAGTAAAGCCCTCAATAGACTCACTCATTCCACAGGTGTTTATTGTAACCGTGATGTATGCAGGAACTGTCTTTGAGGCTGGGGACATAACAGAGACACAGCAATTTCATTTCCAGAGATAGGGTGAGTCCGATCTGGAATTTGAATGCAGGTGTCATTGAGTTCAAATTTCCAAGTTGATTATGGAGCGTCAGGGAAGCCCAAAGGAAGTTCAAGAGGCCCTGGTTACATCTTGCCAGCGAAATGATCAGGAACTGGTCACTGAGCTGAGATAGAAGCTTGTGGGCCGTGGTGTGTGGGTCCTGGCTAATTGCTCTTCATAGTCTCCTGGATCCAGTCCACATATTTGCAGACTTTTGTGTAAACACCGGGCTTTCTGGTGACAGCACATGGGTCCTGGCCCCAGGAGATGATGCCTTGAAGAGACCCATTGCAGACCAAAGGGCCCCCGGAGTCCCCCTGGGCACGGGAGAGAGAACATCTGTTAGAATGGGTCATGGAGTTAGTTAGGGAAGGAGGTACGGTGTTGGGAGTGCGCTTGGGGGTGAGGGTGGGATTATGGGTGGGGAAAAGGATGAGTTTAGGCTAGAAAACAAGTTTGGGGGCTGGGAATAGTGGCTTATGCCTGTAATCCCAGCACTCTGAGAGTCCTGAGCTGGAGACCTGCCTGGGCGGCATAGCAAGACCTCGTCTCTACAATAAATCAAAAAATTAGCTGGGCATGGTGTGTGTCTGTAGTCCCAGCTACTCAGAGGATTGTCTGAGCCTAGGAGGTCAAGGTTGCGGCAAGCTGGGATCTCCAGTGTACTCCAGCCTGGGCGATAGAGTGAGATTTTGACTCAGAAAAAAAAAAAAAGAATAAAAGAAAAGAAGTCTGGGGACAGTTGAGGTGGAAGTAGGGTAGGCATGGGGGCAGGGTCAAAGTTTGTGTTGAGCCGGGCTTGGTGGCTCAGCCTGTAATCCCAGTACTTTGGGAGACTGAGGCAAGAGAATTGCCTGAGCCTGCGGGTTCGAGACCCACCTGGGCAACTTGGCGAGACCTTGTCTCTACAATAAATCAAAAATAAACCGGGCGTGGTAGCTTGCGCCTGTAGTTCTGGCTACTTGGAAGGCTGAGGCAGAAGGATCACCGGAGCCCAGCAGGTCGAGGCTGCAGTGGCCGGGAGCGTGTCACTGCACTCCAGTCTGGGTGATGGAGTGAGACTCCAACTCAAAAAAAAAAATTTGTGTTGGAGTCAGAAATGGGAACTTGGAAAGGAGTGGGTTGGGAGCTGCAGGGGGAGGTGGGGTCGGGATGGGGGATGAGACCGTGGATGGATGTCAACAGGTCGGGGACAAGGTGGAGAAAGGGGTCTAAGGCCAGGTCCCGCCCTCTGACCTGGCAGGAGTCCTTGCCCTCTTCCTGAACGCTGGCGCACACCATGGTGTCTGTGACATTGCCAGGGTAGGCATTCTCACACTCCCTGTGCTCGATGATGGAGATGTTGGCACATCGCAAGGTGTGGGGCAGGTGTACTGTGGAAACAGCACAGGGGAGGGGGGAGTGAGCCCCCACCCCTCCCCCTGCAGCGCTAACTGTGACCCCCCCATAGAGTCCCTGCTCTTCTAATTCAAAGCCAACTCCTCTTTCCACTTGTAACAGCAACGCTGTCGAGTAAACTCATGCCAGCTACCTACTCTCCATGATCTAGGTGGGTGTGATTATTCTCACTTTATAGAGAAGAAAACCAAGCTTCAGAGAGGTGAAGCTGGCCGGCTGTGGTGGCTCATGCCTGTGATCCCAGCACCTTGGGAGGCTGAGGCAGGAGGATTGCTTGAGCCAATGAGTTCAAGATCAGCCTGGGCAACACTGTGAGACGCTTATCTCTATTAAAAAATAAAAATAAGGCCGGGTTCGGTGGCTCAGCCTGTAATCCCAGCACTTTGGGAGCCCAAGGCGAGTGAATTGCCTGAGCCTGTAGGTTCGAGACTCACCCTGGCAACTGGGTGACACCACGTCTCTACAATAAATAAAAAATTAGCCGGGCGTGGTAGTGCGCGCCTGTAGTTCCAGCT